GCCTGCAGCGTCAGCTCGAAGGCGCGCAGCTGCTCGTGGTCGAAGGCGCGCTGCGCGAACACCACCCCGCTCTGTGCGCTCACAGACACGTAGGACGACAGCGCTCGCGGTTCCAGGTCACTGGCCACGATGGCGTAAGACAACAGGCCATTGGGCCCCAAGTCGGGGTCAGAGGCGCTAACTTGAGCGATAGAGGCGCCAGGAGGGTTGTTCTCAGCCACGTGGACTGCGTACGAGGCCTGGTGGAACACGGGAGCGTTGTCATTTACGTCGCCGATGTGCAAGGTGACGCTTACGCTGGAGGAGAGTGGAGGCTTGCCCTTGTCTGTGGCTGTAATGGTGACGTTGTACTCCGGGGTCTGCTCCCTGTCTAAAACCCCATCTGTCACTAATTTATACGTGTTTTTTGAAGAAGCGAGTATTTTAAATGGAACGTCACCTTCTAATTTACAAGTAACTTCTCCGTTATCTCCAGAATCCTTGTCACGGACTTTGAAAAGAGCAATATATGTTCCCAGCTCGGTGTCCTCCATAATTAAGTCAGGTAGGGATTGGATTACCACTTCTGGGACGTTGTCATTTTCATCTAGGACTTCTATTTCTACCGTACATTGTGCAATCATTCCTCCACCATCCCTTGCTTCCAAAATCATGGAATATTCTTTGACTTCTTCAAAATCTAACGTATTTAGAATAGTAATTGCCCCGGTACTTGAATCCACATCAAACTGGGTGATTTGGTCAGCTTCGCTGAAAGAGAAGGTGATCTCTGCATTGACACCCTCGTCCTGATCGGTGGCCATCACCCGAAGCACAGTGGTGCCCGGGGACACGTTTTCCCGAAGACCCACCCTATATATGTCTTGGCTAAACACTGGGGGGTTATCATTGGCGTCAGTCACAAGGACCTGTATCTGTGCAGTGCTGCTTAGGGGTGGATCCCCACCATCCAAAGCAGTCAAGATCAGGTGGTAGGATTTCTGCTCTTCCCGATCTAAAGGCATCTTCAGTACTAGCTCAGGGTGTTTACCTCCATCTAATTTCTCTTTATTCAGGAGTGAGAAATGATCATTGGGGCTGAGCTGATAATTTTGTAGAGAGTTAGTACCAATATCTGCATCATGGGCAGATCCTAAGATAAATCGTGCTCCAGGCTTTGTGGACTCGCTTATTTGAAGTTCAAAAGCAGTTTGCGTGAATTTTGGCGTGTGGTCATTGACATCCTCGATCTCCACATTCACGTGATAAAAGTTCAACGGATTTTCAGCAACAGCTTCAAATTCCAGAGCACACACTGGCTTCTTCCCGCATATCTGCTCCCTGTCTAGCCTGCTGCTCACAAGTAACTCTCCACTCTCTGAGCTCACAGCAAAGTAAGGCTTCTCCGAACTGACTCGCAGTTTTCGAGTCGGTAACTCGTGGACACTGAGCCCTAGGTCCTTGGCCAGGTTCCCCACCACCGAGCCCTTGGACATTTCCTCGGGAATCCTGTAGCGGATCTGCTCAGAGAGCGCCGGGCAGAACAAAGACAGCAGGAAGGGAAAGAGCACTCGCCGCCTCTCAGCCCAGCCCCACTCCCCAGCGCCGCTCCCCATCCCTCTGGCTCCCCTCAGTTTGCTCACCAGCCTGGAGACGCAGGGTTACAAATAACCTCAGGTGTCTGGAGCTCCGATCGGCTTTTAGTTCCAGTAGTGGGAGCCCGGGATTCCTTTCCAGAGGAGGAAATGGTGAAATGCTCGCGCAAGTGTGACATGGAGCTGCCTTGGAAAGTGCGCTGCGTCTGCGCAAGAAGAGAGCGAACACCAAGCTCTCCACTTTGGCCAACAGCGGCGCCCAGAGTCCGCACTAGGAAACTGCAGCCTCTGCTGCTTCAGTTTAACTAGCTAGAATCGTAATTGCGTGCCTAACCGAACACACAATGTTTATACGTCTATATATTTAATAACGTTTAAATCCGGCTCTTACAAACGTCTCTATTCCAACTCTCATGGTTTTTAGGGAAATCTCTTAGATTTAATACACAAACCTCTATATGTTGGCACAATCATTCCTCTGTCTCAAATACACACAGGCGATGCAAAGATGAATATAGCACAGATTTTGCCCAAAGCTGTCTGAGTCCAGTGAGTTTGAATATGCATTCATTACCAATGTGTAGGATACATTTTTATCCTTCTTTACTTTTTCCTTAAGTTTTTCTCCACTTTTCTAGGTACCTCCATGCTGATTCACTTCAATTTTTTTCAGAGAGTACAAGTAATGCTAAATTTTATGTTGTAAAAAAGGCACAATTTTGTCCTTATCTCCAGCACATCTTTTATTCCAAAATATTTTGAATGATCTCTTTGTAGTAATATTATCTGATTCTCACTTCTGCTGTGTTAGGGAACATTCCGTTAAGGAAATGTTGTAGCCCAAAGATAGGTTAGCCTATCAGGTACCTCTCCTTCCCACTATGAAATTATTCACTGGGGTACAATATCAATACATTAATCTTCAAAGTTAATAGGGGAATAATATTTAGCTGTGCAACACAAAGTCCCTTAGCTGTGTGGTCTATTGCACTGAGGTATGGGTTCCTACATCTGCACTTACATTACATCCCATGATGACCTCAGAATGGGATGAAACCAGTCCATGGAAAGTTTACTTGCAATAGCTCACTGAGTTTATCAGTGATTTCTCTTCTTTGTTTAAAAATATTTTAACCATTTAACAAATTTTGTCTTCAGGATTTTCTCTTTTGAAATATCTGATGACTATATTTCTGTCAGAGGACCTTTCCTCACGAAGTGTGAGTAACATCTTTTCGACAAATGATTGTACAGCTAAACACTGAAGAATGTTTGAAATATATTCCCACCCTCATCCCACACTCCTCTATATGCAAAGTACCAAATAAAACACTATGTCCCCCAAAATCTTTTAAATTAACATTAAAAAAATTTCAGGAATCAAGACTACTTTGTCCTCCACCCCGACCAGATGATAATCAATTGATGTGTTGAGCTTTACTGAAACACTATACAAAGGAATATGGAAGTAGCTAATCCCAGATTGAGTTATTGCCAATGGATTTTTTCAGCAGGCCTAATAAGTAAACTTGAGTGCTGCTTTAGGATTTGAATGTATGAAATGGTTGTTTCATAAAGTTAGCATTGTCAGTCCCCTCTTGGGAAGCCCACAGACACACTTCACATTGGAATTTCATGTTAAAACTCTCTATTTCACAAATGCCACTTACAACACTTGCAGTGACATTTTATTTGATATAATGTTTTATTGCTTTTGGCCAGTGACCTTTATTATGGCATTAGACTCTGTATTTGTCACTGATATAGACCTTAGTGAAGCTTGACACGTATGTTTCATCCTTTAGGAGTAAATCTAACCTTGCCCTTAGTACTCCAATTTTAACAGGTAATTTTGCTTTGAATAGATCAGGAAGCAGCCAAAGTTTTCAGGGCCATCAAAGTGAGGTAGATGGAAGCAGAGGCAGTACACAGAAAAAAAGCATCAGATTTGAACCCTGAAGAGAATCCTGAGAACAAGGCTAAGGTGTGCTTTACTTTTGCTAGTCTAGTGCAGTGAGAAAAGGCTCAACAATTCATTATTCTTTCTCATCTGTGAAATACATGGGTTAAGAAAACCAAATGGAAAATAGGTGGAAGACTGACAAATGCCATAGTGCACTTATTCACAAACTTGCCCATACCAAACCAAAAAAGCCAAACCCATTGCCATGGAGTCGATTCTGACTCGTAGCGACCCTATAGGACAGAGGAGAACTTCCCCCATAGGGTTTCCAAAGAGTGCCTGGTGGATTCGAACTGCCGACCTTTTGGTTAGCAGCTGTAGCCCTTAACCCCTGTGCCACCAGAGTTTCCAACTTGTCCATAGCCTTTCAATAAACAAATGATACCAAAACTGCTGTCAACCTGTGTTCCATGTTAAAGTATCACCACTAAAATGAACCACTAAACTTGTTTTACCTATTTAAAGTTTTCCCCCATCTTTAAAATACTTGTTTCACAAAACAATAAGAATATAGGTCCTCTTGGAAATAAAAACAGAGACCGAACTCACCTGAGTATTTGGTATTTCATCCTTAAATTCATGAAAATCTATGGATGTTAACAAGGGATCATTCTTCTCACAGCTCTCCTGGCTGATGAGCGTATCGGCGTAGTTGGGCTGGGGGAAGATCAGGTGACTCTTCCGCGAGTCTGCGGTGAGGGAGACCTCGTGGGAATAGGTTTGCAGAAAAGCCTGCACCCTGTCCATGCCCACAAAGTGCGAGGCGGACACACCCGCCAACCCGACCCCGGAAGCCTGCAGCAGGCGGGACACATGCCAGCGCCTCAGCCTGAGCGCCAGCAGCACAATGACAAAGGCGAGGAAAACACAGGAGACAGCGGCCACGGCCACCACCAGGTACAGAGTGAGGCGGGAGTCGTCTGGGTCAGCGGAAGATTCTAAACTGCTCAAGTCGGCCAGGACCTCGGGGATGCTGTTGGCCACGGCCACAGTGAGCGTGACTGTGGCTGAGAGAGGAGGCTGGCCGTGGTCCTGGACGGCCACCACCAGGCTCTGCTTGAGCGCGTCTCTATCCTGCAGGGCCCGCGCCGTGCGCACCTCGCCCGTGTGCACCCCCACCGAGAAGAGCCCTGGCTCGCTGGCCTTGAGCAGGCGGTAGGACAACCAGGCGTTCTGACCTGAGTCTCTGTCCACTGCCACTACCTTGGTCACCAGGTAGCCGGGCTCTGCGGAGCGGGGAGTCAGCTCCATACCCGTGGAACCATCACTGGGGAGGGAAGGGTACAGGATTTCCGGCGCATTGTCGTTCTTGTCCAGAATGAACAGGCTCAGTGATGCGTTGCTGCTGAGTGGCGGGTCACCGCTGTCACACGCAGTCACTCTAAGTTGCAGGTTTCGAAACTGCTCATAGTCAAAGGATCGCAGTGCATACAGAACGCCAGTGTCAGAGTTGATAGAGACATAGGAGGACACAGGGGCCCCCTGTATGGTATCTTCCACCAGGGAGTAAATAACCTGGGCATTTTCCTCGCTGTCGGGGTCATGGGCAGTCACCGAGAAGATGGAGGCTCCTCTGAGGTTGTTCTCAGGGACGAAGACTGAGTAGGACTTGTGGGAGAAGGTGGGCGGGTTGTCGTTGGTGTCTGCCACGTGTATAGAGATGCAGGTTTCCGTTGACAGGGGAGGGGTGCCACCATCTGTGGCTTTCACTGTGATGTTATAGACAGACAGTCTTTCCCGGTCCAAGTTTTTTGCTGTCACCAATCTATAATAATTGTCTATCGATCTTTCTAATTTAAAAGGCAGATTTTCTGGAATGGTGCAGGTCACCTCCCCATTCTTCCCAGAATCTTGGTCTTGTAGGTAGAAAAGAGCAGTTACTGTCCCAAGAGGCGTGTCTTCAGGGACTGAGCTGCTCAGAGACATTACAGTCACTTCGGGAGTGTTGTCATTCACATCTAAAATTGTGATCAGTACTTTTGTCCTTGTCAGACTACCAGGACCATCCTGAGCCTGAACTTCCATTTCGTAGAAGCCGGATTCTTCATAATCTAGGCCTTGTAAAGTTGATAATTCTCCTGTAAGGGAGTTCAGTTGGAATATTTGTAGAATTTTTTGAGTTATTTTCTGAAAAGAATATGTCACTTCCCCATTCAATCCATCATCCAGGTCTATAGCATTTACTGTGAGCAGTGTTGTGCCCACAGGTACATTCTCAGGGATAGTCACTCGGTACTGGGGCAGAGAGAAGACTGGAGCATGGTCATTCACATCTACCACTGTCACTTGGATGCGCGCGGTGCCGGATCTGAGTGGGTCGCCTCCGTCAGAGGCCGTGAGGAGGAGATGGTGAACCGCCTCTTCCTCCCGGTCCAGCACCCGGTCCAGCACCAGTTCTGGATACTTGGTTCCATCGTCTCCAGTTTGCACGTCCAGGGAGAAGTGGTGACTGGGGCTGAGCTGGTAGCTCTGGAGGGAGTTGGTGCCTACATCTGGATCTCTAGCCTCGTTTAACGGAAAGCGTACCCCAGGAGCTGTATTCTCCATTATTTTTACGTTAATTTCTTCCTTCAAGAATCTAGGAGCGTTGTCGTTAACATCTGTTATTTCCACTTCAATAGGATAAAGATTCATTTTATCTTCCATCAGGATGTTAAAATTCACCAGACACCGCGCGCTCTGAGCGCAGAGCTCCTCCCGGTCTATCCTGCCTGCAGTGATCAAGCTGCCGCTTCGCTGGTTCAGAGCGAAAAGCTGCGTCCTACCTCTGGAGACGATGCGGACTCCGCGCTCCGTCAGCTCTCGGGGCTCCAGCCCCAGGTCTTTGGCGACGTTCCCCACAAAAGACCCTTTGTCTGTCTCCTCAGGCACGGAATAGCGAATATGTCCTGCCCAGACTTCCCACAAGGTCCCCAGGAGAATCGAGAGCAGGACGAATCCTCTGTAGTCCCTGCCCTTCTGCCGAGCCGCCATTGTTGTCCTGCTGATCTTGCTTGAGCTTCTTGGGATGTGCTTCTGGATGCCTGTGAATCCGAGTAAACCCCTCAATATTCGGAAGGGGAGCCCAGAACCCGGTAGGATGGAGGCCTGAGGTTGATGCAGCTAGGGAAGGATTTGTCTCAACCTGTCGTTTCTTTGTGCTGTAAAAGCTCGGCGGTTCCGGCGGATCTCTCGCACCATTTTTCCCCTGGTTGGTGAATAGCGGCGCTCAGAGTCCTTAGTGAGCTACTGCACCACATTGAAGCAAAATAAACTGATTTTTCAGAAAATTGTTTCATTCTTCAAATTTTCAGTAAAATTTCTTCACTCTAAATACCTCTGATATAATTTTTAAATTCATTTTAAGAAACTGTGAATTAATACAACAGTGTTCATAGACAGGTGTTTGGTAATCCCTGATTTAAAATTTTTTTTTTTAAATCTCTATTTTGCACTGCCAGTTTGAAATGACTCTTTTGGGCACTGACTCACACTTTATTGCATATCTAGGAAACCCAGACATTGCAGGCAAAAAGGTAAAATCCATAAAAATTATGTACCTGACAACAAAAATTATTTACTACAGGGTATAATACATTTAAATTAGTTCGGTAATACTATTGAACAATGCAGTGTGCTAGACACCACCATGAAAGACTCAGAGAGCCAAAAGTTCCTTGAAAAGATAAGTTTTAATTGGATGTAAACTTAGAGGTGGTTTAGTCCAACACCTTCACTTAAAAGATGAAAAAACGAGAGATAATTGCCTTATCTCTGATTATACAATTGTAGAACCAAGGTAGGAATCCACAGATCCTCACTCACAGTCTTGTGAGAAAAGAAAAGGGAATCATTATTGGCTGTGGTTGATATTTTGTGCTCAAGAAATGCCATTACAGATGAGGTTAGAAGCCAAGCAGCAACTATCAGCTGTAGAAGCAACTCATTTTGCACAGAGGGCAGAGATTTGCAAAGAGGACCTACTGGCCGTGGATTCTCAGGAAACTAGGTGTTGGCTTGATTGCTTATTTTCATTATAAAATTCAAATCTTCATCCTACCCTGTATCAGAATAGTTTTAAAAGGGAAGGTCTCTCTAGACATCCTTTGAGCATACATGCAAGACTGTCCTGCGAGGATTCTTGTTGTGTTGCTGTGTGTCATGGAGTTGATTCCAAGAGGATCCTTAGAGGTACTCATGTCTCCACTGATGTAGCTGGAGTAAAACTCAATTGCGGATGATAAAAATCAAACTAAGTTCCTTCCACATCGTTGCAGAATGAAGACCTGGCCAGAAATAATCCTGCTTTCTGAATTATTTTTAAGCCCTCAGGCAATAGGTAGTGGTACCAGAAGAAGGAACCAGAAAATATGTACCTTAGTTTTGCAGGAGGTTCTAAATGAAGTAGTTTATTTCTGCTCTCTGATGGCATTGCTTCAAAATATAGGGAATACTTTGCTTGAATGAAATGATGTTTGAATAATTCATAGTCATGTTTGCTTTCACCATATATATAAAAGTTAAGAAATTTTAATGAACCAGTTTCATTATCATGAACAGGAGTTAAATATTAGTTTATTAGTAATTTTGAACTTCTTATTGATGCAAGCAAAGTGTATGGTCATCAAAGATCATGAGTTCTTGTAGACATTGTCAAACAAAGCTTTCATGTTTGGAGGTTATGGTTCCCAATATCTTGATCTTTTTCTACCTGATGCCTCAAAATTCATAGCTTAACCTCACATTTGTCTCTTATTACTACTGGGTTTTTTTTTAATGTCTGAATTAACACTACTTTTTGAACCTTCTTTGGAGCTAAATAAAATTTATCTAAGTAAGATTATAGACATGTTCTGAACATAAAGCATACTTTAGGGAGTAAATAGCTACACTAAGTAGTCAAGATTTTAAAGTTATTCCACAACATAAAAATAAATATTAACAATCTCTACTAGACCACAAGGTATGTTTATTAAAATGTTACATAAGCTTACCATATAAAGTTGAAGTATTTATGTAGTTTTAAAGAGATTATATTATTATTGATTGGGTTAATGGGTGAATCTAATCTTTGTTTACTTGCATTAAAAAAATTCTATGGAAAATTCTACCTACCTTCCAAGGCATTGAGTTAATTATCTTCTCTTCTTTCATTATGGAACTTTTTTCTATTGAAGGACCATTTGTTTGGAGTTGTGTTTAAGCTTTCACTCTCAAGCAAAGATGTAGGTGTTTTCCAATGATTCTTTCTGAGATTTACACTCACCCCCTTTTGACATCTGCCATCTCAACCAGAAGTTTGATTAGAAATGGGTGGTTTTCCAGATGATAAAATAATCCCACAAGTTGTTAGATTTATTTTTGATGCTCTAAAATTTAGTGTATGCTCAAAATCTCAGACTAATTATCTGCATGGTATGTAGACCAAAGAACCTCATTTAGTCAGAATTTAGCAAATTCCATGATTGCCAGGATGTTTAACACTTAGTCATCCACATGAATGAATGATTATTGTGATAGTATAATCTGATAGTTTTTCCTTCAGAGAAATGTTTTGTTTAAATGAAATGGTCACAGGTAACTCAGATAAAAGAATAAAATAAACCAGCTTACTATCATGAAACTCAGTGAGATTTACTTATAACAATGGATGTTCTATATATTTAGTTTAAATAACCCCAAATTGGTGATATAGTAAAATAACGTTCACATCCCCAGAGTGTGTGGCAAAAACCACAGTATTTGTACAAGAGACTATCTGACACACATGACCAAGCCCCAGGTTTAAAATTCTTTCACATTGTTAACTATTACATTCTGATTCAAGCCATCAAAGAATTATTGCACAAATGTCCAAAAAATTAGATTTGGAAATATGTATTATTGGAATATCTTCATTAGCTCTCTCTCTCTCTCTCTCTCTCTATATATATATATATTTGGAATCTTGAAATATTATTTCAAGAGCATCAGCTCGATACTATCTTTATGAAGACTGGCTTTTATAAAGAAGGTTCTTGTTCATTTTCAAGATACCTTCTTTAATATTTTTTCTTATATGTGCATTCCAAATTCAGATGCACAAGTGGCCAACTCACCATATTACCAGATCATAGAATCCTCCCACTCAGGGTTGGAAAAGATCTTGTCTATGATGTAGTTAAACAACTCATCAAATTGTAGAATACCTTGTACTCCATTAATTTCAGGGCCATCAACTTTCTGAGGAGTTCCAATAATGGAATCTCCTACCTCTGTAGGCAACTCATTTCTTGTTAGAACAACTTCGAGAATTAAAAACTTTGCCTGTTTGTACTCACCAAGCCATAGTTACATTCACACCTTTGGGCCATGATGAATAACAGTTCTAAATGACAACCCCCTTTCGTTCAAATATTTGGATAAAGAGTTGCTATGTGACAGAGGAGCATTGGTGGTTCGGTGGTAGAATTTCACCTTCCATACAGGAGACCCAGGTTGATTCCCAGCCAATCCACCTCATGTACTGCCACCACCCATCTGTCGGTGGAGACTTGTGTGTTGCTATGATGCTGAATAGGTTTCAGTGGAGCTTCCAAACTAAGACTAGGAAGAAAGGCCTGGCAATCTACTTCCCAAAATCAGCCAGTGAAAACCCTATGGATCACAACAGTCTTATGTCTATCTGATCGTGGGGATGGCGCAGGATTGGGCAGTGTTTTATTCTGTAGTGAATAGGGTCGCTATTCGGGGGGCAATTCCACAGTAGCTAGGCAGCTAACAACAACATATGACAGAAGCCTTATTATTTTATCTGGGTTAATATGCTGAATTATTTAAATTCTTCATTCTCTCACTCACCAGTCAGTGTACTGTAATTTTAGATGTATTTCTTGTAAGTGGACACTATTGAGCATATTTTGAAATTCATTTCATTTTAAAAAGACTATCAAGCACAAAGTATGTAGAAGACATTGTAGTAGGCAAAGATGGATGCTTACATTTATTAAAAATCCAATAATTATAATAATGGTGATGTCAACAAATATTTGTTCACTATGCTATTTTATGTTTGAAAAAAAATTTATGAGATTTTGTTTACCTAGTTTGTATGTGAGATAGATAAGGCAAGCCTTTTTAATTACAACTTTAAATGGAAGACTACAGAGATTGTGACTGGCCGAAGATGAATAACTGTTAGTGCCAGGAATATTACTCACGTCTAGTGGTGGACACCAAAGCCCAGGTCCTCTCTGCTACAGACATCCATTACTCTTATCTTTAACTTTAAAAAATTATTTCTAAGTAGTTGAAAGGGGGAAGTGTTTTTCATGGATCTCTATAATTTTAGAAAACACTATCTTGATCTTCTTTCACAGAGGATGCAGTGAGTATTTTCTCCACATTAGAAAAGGAAAGGGTCTCATGAATATCACATCACAGAAACAAACAAACCAAAGCCTAAGCAATGAGGCAGATGCAATCCAAAGCACAAAGAGTTGGCCAACAGGACAAAGGTAGAGCAAATCCAGGCCATGAATTAAGTATTTTTTCATGAAATTCAAGAAAATTAAAATTTAGGAGAGCTCTATTCATAAAAAGGAAAACCTTCTCAGAATTATATGATAACTATATGATTTCCTGCAAAACAAAGAAAACTAAGCATTGATCAAAGATAATTTTAGAATTTCCTGTTCAAATGAAACCAATAAAAAAGCAAAAACCTTACCTGAACAAAAGAGTCTTCCTCTTTACAAAAACCTAAATCTTCCTGGATCAAAAGAGGCTCGCTTTTCCCACAACTCTCTGCACTAATGAGTGTGTCAGTATAGTTGGGTTGAGGGAAGATAATGTGGCTCTTCCCGGAGTCCGCGGTGAGGGAGACCTCGTGGGAATAGGTCTGCAGGAAAGCTCGAACCCCATCCACACCCACAAACTGTGAGACCGGCAGGCTCGGCAACACCCCTCCCGAAGCCTGGAGCAGACGCTTCGTGCGCCAGCGACGCAGCCTGAGCGCCAGCAGCACGACGACAAAGGCGAGGAAGACGCAGGAGACCGCGGCCACCGCCACCACCAGGTACAGCGTGAGACCTGAGTCATCCGTGTTGTCAGGAGACTCTAAACTGCTCAGGTCGGCCAGGACGTCGGGGATGCTGTCAGCCACGGCCACAGTGAGCGTGACTGTGGCTGAGAGAGGGGGCTGACCGTGGTCCTGGACGGCCACCACCAGGCTCTGCTTGAGCGCGTCTCTGTCCTGCAGGGCCCGCGCCGTGCGTACCTCACCCGTGTGCACTCCCACCGCGAAGAGCCCTGGCTCGCTGGCCTTGAGCAGGCGGTAGGACAGCCAGGCGTTCTGTCCTGAGTCGCAATCCACCGCCACTACCTTGGTCACCAGGTAGCCGGGCTCTGCCGAGCGCGGCGCCAGCTCTACGCCTGTGGAATCGTCACTGGGAAGGGTAGGGTACAGGATTTCTGGTGCATTGTCGTTCTTGTCCAGAATGAACAGGCTCAGCGACACGTTGCTGCTGAGTGGCGGGTCACCGCTGTCACGTGCAGTCACTCTCAGTTGCAGGCTTTGAAACTGCTCATAATCAAAGGCTCGCAGTGCGTACAGGACTCCGGTATCAGAGTTAATGGAGACATAGGCGGATAGGGGTGCCCCCTGGATGGTGTCCTCAGCCAGGGAGTAAGTAACTCGGGCATTCTCATCGCTGTCGGGATCATGGGTGGTCACCGAGAAGATAGAGGCTCCTCTGGGGTTGTTCTCAGGGACGTAGACCGAGTAGGATGTGTGAGAAAAGGTAGGCGGGTTGTCGTTGGTGTCTGCCACATTTAGGGAGATGAGCGTTTCTGTAGACAGGGGCGGAGTTCCTTTGTCTGTGGTTGTCACAGTGATGTTGTACGAGGACACCTGCTCACGGTCTAGGACTGTGCTTGTCACTAATCGATAGTAATTGTCTACTGATTTTTCCAATTCAAACGGCAGACTTCTGGAGATGGAGCATGTCACCAGACCATTCAGTCCTGCATCTCGATCATGCACTTGAAAAAGAGCAACTACTGTTCCTGGGGGCGCATTTTCAGCAATTGTTCTGCTCCCAGATGTAACTACCACTTCTGGTACATTATCATTTACATCCAAGATAGTTATGAAGACTTTAGCTCTATCTCGAAGACCTGGCCTATCCTGGGCTTCAACATCCAGCTCATAGGAGCTCGAGTCCTCATAGTCTAGATCTCCAGAAGTTGAAATTTCTCCAGTCAAAGCATTCAAGCAGAAAATCTGTGAAATCTTTTTAGTTATCTTCACTAAGGAATACGTTACTTCCGCGTGGACTCCTTCATCCCGGTCGGTGGCATTTACGGACAACACTGGCGTACCTACTGGCAGGTTTTCAGGAACACTCACCCGGTAGACAGGCTTTGTAAACACCGGAGCGTTGTCATTCGCATCTAGGACAGTAATCTGAATTCGAGCCACACCTGAGCGAACAGGGTCACCTCCATCCACGGCAGTAACGACGAGGTGGTGAACGGCCTCTCGCTCCCGGTCCAGGGCACGCTCCAGCACCAGCTCCGGGTACTTGGGCCCGTTGGCTTCGCTTTGCACGTCCACTGAGAAGTGACTGTTGGAGCTGAGCTTGAAGCCCTGAAGCGAGTTCATTCCCACATCCAGGTCATAGACCTCCATCAATGGAAAACGAGAGGAAGGAGGTGCGTTTTCGAGAATTTTCACTTCCAGTTCTTCCGCTAAGAATTGGGGTGTATTGTCATTAATATCCATTATTTCCACTTCCACAGGATAAAGATTCATTTTATCCTCAACAAGGATGTTAAAATTCACCAGACACCGCACGCTCTGAGCGCAGAGCTCCTCCCGGTCTATCCTGCCCGCAGTGATTAAGCTGCCGCTTCGCGGGTTCAGAGTAAAGAGCTGCGTCCTGCCTCTGGAGACGAGGCGGACTCCGTGCTCCGCCAGTTCCCAGGGCTCCAGCCCCAGGTCTTTGGTGATGTTCCCCACGAAGGAGCCTTTCTCCAGCTCCTCGGGAATGGAGTAGCGCATCTGCCCCGCCCTGGCGCCCCACAGCGTCTCCAGGAAGGTGAAGAGCAAGACCAGTCCGCTGCGGTGCCGGCGCCGGCTCCTCTGCAGAACCGCCATTACTGGCTCCTTATGGACTTCCTTAGGATTATGTAACAGGAACGTGTCCACATTACTTTGTGCTTCTCAGAATTAGAGGTCAAGGTCCATAAACAAGCAGAGAGCTGAAGCGAAGCGTTCGCAGTTAGAATTCCTGCGCAGCTGGAGAGTTTTTGTGTCTGATCTGCCTTGTGTTTGCGGTTTAGAACTCCAGTTCCCATCGCTTTTCTCTCCCGAGTTAGTGAACAGCGACGCTTAGAGTCCTGACTTAACACTGCACCGTCTTCTGTTTTTTTAAAAAATTTCTTGTGGTAAAAGATATACAACACAAAATTCGCCGTTTAAGTGTACAATTTAGTGACATTAATCGTATTCACAATATTGTGCAACAATTACCACTATTTATTTCAAAAATTTTTCATCACTGGAAGCAAACTCGGTGCCCCGTCAGAAATAACTCCCATTCCCCTCTCCCGCCAGCCCCTGGTAACCACCAACCATCTTTAATCTCTATGCAATTGCCTATTCTTTGTATTTCATATAAGTGGGATCATACAATATTTGTTCTTTTGTTTCTGACTTATTTCACTCAACGTAATGTTTTCAAGTTTCATCCATGTTATAGCATGTTTCAGAACTTCATTTTTCTTTATGGCTGAATAATATTTCATTATATATATATACATATATATATATCTCACATGTTGTTCATCCATTCACGTATTCATGGGCATTTGGGTTGTTTCCATGTTTTGGCTGCTGTGAATAATGTTGAAATGAGTACTGGGTACAAGCATTTGTTTGAGTCCTTGCTTTCAATTCTTTTGGGTATATATCAAGTAGTGGAATCACTGGGTCATATTGTGATTCTCAGAGCCCTGGTGGTGCAGTGGTTCGGAGCTACGGCTACTAACCAAAAGGTTGGCAGTTTGAATCCAGCAGCTGCTCCTTGGAAGCCCTATGGGGCAGTTCTACACTGTTGAAATCAACTTGACAGCAAAGGGTTTGGTTTTGGGGTTACTGTGATTCTATGTTTAACTTTTTAAAAAACCATCAAACTTTTTTCTACAGCAGCTGCAACATTTTACATTCCACCAGCAATGTACGAAGTTTTCAATTTCTCCACTTCTTCACCAACACTTATTATTTATTTTTTAGTAATACTGTACTGTTTGTGAAACTATCTTAGAGAATTTTTTCTCTGCTAAATCTGCATAGATGACATTCATAATATTTCTCTCCCTAAGAAAGTGAAACATTTGGAAGAATAAAAGAGCTCATTTTGAATAATTTTAAATGTTCCCTGGAACTTACCACTTATTTTAGTAACAACATCTCTTAGGGCCTTGGAACAGAAATAACAGTACACTTTTCTGTAAATCTTGAATTATCACACTCCACCATCATTTCCATTTGTCCTACTTTCATATAAAATACAATCCACTACATATAATGTATAATCCACTACAGTGCCAGTTACAGCAAGAGTCACTATTTTTAGATGCCATTATTTGTTTTTGTTAACATATAAATTAAGATCTGCCCTGACTCAGGTAATATTTATGTATACCTTGAAAACCACGGAAAAAAGTGAAAATATATAGGCTGTATTGACATTTATATTTCTGGGTTGACAGCATCAAATAAATTTTTTATCAGTTGAAACGAAGTAAACTACTAAATTGACTAGCTTTTCATTAAATTCTAGATAGTAATCATGACTTACAATGACAGTGTGACATACTAATGAATTAAAATGTTTTAGATTACATTGTTTGATGATTAACAAAAAATTCAAGATCATAAGGCCACTTTCTATGAAAGAAAATTGCAACACAGATAAGCCTACAATGTATTTCCTCGCTCATTCAATACCCAGAAAAATCAATAAAACAAAATGAAATCAGAACATATTTAATTGTATACTTTTTTATCTCTGACATAATGAATTGAACCTAATTCTATTTATGAAAGGAAAGGGGTTTGGAGAAACTCACCTGTTGCAAATTGACTGACTTAGAAGTCATTTTGGGATTGTCATTGCTGGTGCTTTCAACCCAAGAGCCTTCATCGCACAGAAGATCTTGTGGAGGAGTGATTTCTGGATTTATACTGAGAAATGTAAACTCTGTCTGTGAGGAATGTGAGGCAGCACATAGATTATAGGAATAACGGAAAGTCCCCTCACTGTAGCCGGGGGGAATCGCAGGTCCAGATTTGGAGCTGAGACCTGGCTGAAAGCAGCCCCAGTCGGTGGGGCTAGAGGAGCGTCGCAGGCGCAGGGCGATCGCGGTAATCACGGTGAGGAGGAAGAGGACAGAGATCAAGGCCAAGGCCACCACCAGATAAAATTGCAACTCGGTCTGAGGGTCAGAGGGGGCGGGGCGGTCGCTGAGGCCTGGCAAAGCCTCCTGCAGGCTATTAGCTAAGACCAGGTGAAGCGTAGCGGTGGCTGAGAGGGGTGGCTGTCCTCCATCTCGTACAGCGACCAGCAGGCGCTGGCGGGATGCGTCCCTGTCGCCCAATGCACGCGCCGTGCGCACCTCGCCCGTGCGCAGCCCCAGGCTGAAAAGCCCGGGCTCGCTGGCCTGCAGCACGTGGTAGGACAGCCAGGCTTTGTGTCCCGAGTCTGCGTCCACCGCCACCACCTTGGTGACCAGGTAGCCCGGCTGCGCTGCGCGCGGCACCGTGTCGAAGAGCGCTGAGCCGTCGGGTCCCAGCGCCGGGTACAGCACCCTGGGCGCGTTGTCGTTGCGGTCGTCCACCAACACGCGCAGGCTGACGTTGGCGCTGAGCGGGGGCGAGCCCTGGTCACGCGCCTGCAGCGTCAGCTCGAAGGCGCGCAGCTGTTCGTGGTCGAAGGCGCGTTGCGCGAACACCACCCCGCTCTGCGCGCTCACAGACACGTAGGACGACAGCGCTCGCGGTTCCAGGTCGCTGGCTACTATGGAGTAGGAGACACGGCCATTTTGCCCCAGATCCGGGTCGAAGGCGCTGACTTGCACGATAGAGGCGCCGGGCGGGTTATTTTCGGCCACATGGACCACGTAGGAGGCTTGGGGAAAGTCTGGAGCGTTGTCGTTGACATCAGCGATGTGCAGGGTGACGCTTGTGCTGGAAGAGAGGGGTGGCTTGCCCTTGTCAGTGGCCATGATGGTGACATTATACTCAGTCGTCTGTTCCCGGTCCAGGGTTCCATCTGTCACCAGCTTGTATGTGTTTTTTGTATCCTGAACTATTTTAAATGGGATATTTCCTTTTAGTTGACATAGGATTTCCCCATTAACTCCTGAATCTAGATCATGTGTTTTGATCAGGGCGACAGTGGTCCCCAGCTCAGCATCTTCTTGTATATGTTTGTATTCAGAAGCAAGGGTTATCTCAGGAGCATTGTCATTTTCATCCAAAATATCTATTTGTATTTTACAATGAGTAGTGTGATGTCCTCCATCCTTTGCTTCCACCCCAAGTGTGTAGCTCTCTCGATCTTCAAAGTCCAGTCCTCCACCAGTGGTGAGTTCTCCTGTCTTACTATCCAGCTTGAACAGTTGCCTCATTACCTTACCAACGTTGATTAAGGTGTAGGTGATCTCGGCATTGACGCCCTCATCCAGGTCAGTGGCCATCACTCTCAGCAGCGAGGAGCCAGCAGGCAGGTTCTCCCGAACACTGACCCTGTACATGTCCTGGGTGAACACTGGGGGGTTATCATTTGCGTCTGCGACAACTACCCTGATTTGGGTAGTGCTGCTCCTGGCCGGCTCGCCCCCGTCCAATGCTGTCAGGGTCAAGTGATGGCAGCACTGCTCTTCCCTGTCTAGGGGCGCTTTCACTACGAGCTCCGGGTACCTACTGCCGTCCGGGTTCTCCTTCTGAATCAAAGAGAAGTGCGGGTCGGGGCTGAGGTAGTACTGCTGCAGTGTATTGACACCTACATCCGAATCTTGAGCTGATTCCAGGGCAAACGTGGCTCCAGTTAGCGTCAGTTCGCTGATTTCAAGCTCAGTGATATTTTGACTGAAAATCGGTGGGTTGTCGTTGACATCCTGGATCACCACGGTTATGTGAAAAAAGTTTAAGGGCTTTTCAGCGACCATTTCAAATTCCAGAACACACGTGGGCTTCTTTCCGCAAATCTGCTCTCGGTCTATACGGTCGCTGACAAGTAAGTCTCCGTTCTCAGAGCTCACGGTAAAGAATTTCTTCTCTGTACTAAGCCGCAGGTTTCGAGTAGGCAAATCCCGCACGTCAAGCCCCAGATCTTTAGCGAGGTTCCCCACCAGCGAGCCCCAGGCCAGCTCCTCGGGAATCGTATAGCGGATAGGCTCTGAGCGCGCCGGGCAGAGCAAAGACAGCAGGAAGAGAAACAGCGCTTGCCGCCGCCCAGTCTGACCTCTCGCTCCCCAGCGGGGTCCCATCCCGCTCCCTGCGCCTTTGCCTTTCTGATTTTAAGGAGCGGCGATCGCTAAAGGATCCCAACAGTTCTCTTAGCGGGAGCGACTACTTGCTCTATCCTGGCAGATCGAATTTCTGATGGAGATCTGGGCGGCAGAGAGTCTGAGAGAGCGCACTGTTCTCCAGAGACCTTGTCGGCTGGCGATTCCACCGCAGGAGGAGGAGCAGATACTTCGCTCAGCACTAGCCAACAGCGGCACCGCGCGCCTCGGCAGCAGAACTGCAACAGCGCTTACTAAATCAGCCCCGAGTAAGGAACTGGGTAGGAGCAAATTCTACTCTATACTGACTAATACCTCCTCAGTCTCCCCCTTGTTACCAGGATTTCTTACATATTAAATATTTACTACATCTTCAGTCTGAGTGAAATTTCTTTGAACTTGAACTTTATTCATCCAAATCACAGTGATTTTTAGTTGTCAAAGAGTAGAGGTAACTTTACTCAAGATGTATGTTGGCATTGTAGTGCTTTTAGCTTCCGTTTTCATAACATGGTCATAATATCGTCCCTGCTTACCTTAGTAGAATTGAGGGCCAAATGAAATCAAATATAGAAAAACACACAAATGAAAGATAGATAGTGTTGGTGGTGGCAGATATAGTATAAAAATCTTTGAAATATCAACTTGATATGTATTGATATTTGACTGTATTTCTTTTTCTGACTTATCAAAGTTATAACACTCATAGATTTTATTTTTATCTGATGTTTCACTTTTTTTCTATCTTATCTTTATCACCATCCTCCCCAAAAAGATTTGACAGATAAGCAAGCAGATTGACCTTCAAAAATAGAAGCACATTAAGAAGCAGGAGACTCTTTTCTTAGCTTACAAGTGTGTACTTTTAATTAAATGAGTATGATTAACAAACTATTCCACAAGTGATTTTTTTCTCACACTATATTATTATTGTTCTGAATTTTACTGTTTCTTCCCAAGTATTTTAACAATGGGGAGTGATTTGGATTTGAGGGCGAAAGTAGGAGTTCTTGTCATTATTTTCTGCTCTTCTATATTCCAAGAAAAGTAATATGCATAAAATGTATATTTGTTATTGGCATTCTTCAGTTGTTAATAAACATACCAAAGGCCATATTTCTTGCAGGTGTCTTTCAGTTTTAACTCCATTTCCAAACTAGAAATTGTTCATTAACATCGTCTTACCTACATAACGTACTGTAGTTCTAAAGCTTAGCAGGTACATAATGATATTGAACTCACCTTATAGCACAATAGCATTAGAGCATCTTAAACTGCCCATTGTAGTCAGGATTCTAGACAGCCAGTCATTGATACTTTTGCTTTATGCAAACATAAAGAACCCTACTGACTCAAGAGTTAGGTTCAAAACATGTCCAAGCAAGTGCCTTTCAATTGTATGAACACTTCAATTACCACTGGAAAGTTGTCTTCAATACACATGAAACTAATGATTCAAATATTCAAATAGCATATATACTATATACACTCTGAGTGCGTGGGTCAAGCATTTTAAATGTAAGCTATTGGTAATTTATAGAGGTTTTAAAAGACATTTTTCCATTGCAAAAAAAATTTAACTCTGATGATACATACCCAAATCTATAAACTTTCCTTTAAAAATATTGGAAAAGTGAATGGATATGTAGGATTGAGTAATATCAGCATCTATTATACAGTTTCTCTTTTTACTCTTTGGATGCATTTGCTATTCAGTAAGCTGAACATTTTATATTTAGATCAGAATTTTTCACTAACATATAAAATTGGATCCCCTTTAAATAAATGTATAAAAAATAAAAACCAAATGGTTCTAGATCCCAAGTGTGTCAATAAAGCTTTCATGTGGTCAAGTAAGATAGTCGGCCATTTCATTAGTAATGTTCTGTTACCATTTTCCCCTACTTATCCATACTTTGCAGCCAGTGTTCAAGCTGTTGAAAGTACAAAGTTTGAAATACATTTTAATAAACTAAAAACCAAAAAAAACCCTACCACTATCAAGTCACTATGAGTCAGAATCAAAGAAGATGAATCAATAGTTGGAAAACGTGGCCTTGGTGATAGAAATGAGGCGGGAGAGCACATGACAGAATTTTGTAAGACCAACAACCTGTTCATTGCAAATACCTTTTTTTCAACAACATAAATGGTGACTATACATGTGGACCTCACTGAATGGAATATGCAAGAATCAAATTGTCTATATCTGTGGAAAGAGACCATGGAGAAGCTCAATATCAACAGTCATAACAAGACCAGGGGCTGACTGCAGAACAGACCATCAATTGCTTATGTGCAAGTTCAAGTTGAAGCTGAAGAAAATTAAAATAAGTCCATAAGAGCCAAAGTATGACCTTCAGTATATACCACCTGAATTTAGAGACCATCTCAAGAACAGGTTTGACACGTTGAACACCAATTACCGAAGACCGGACGAGTTGTGGGGTGACATCAAGGACATCATACATGAAGAAAGCAAAAGGTCATTAAAAAGACAAGAAAGAAAGAAAAGACCAAAATGGATGTCAGAAGAGACTTGAAAGTTGCTACTGAATGTAGCTTAGCTAAAGCTAATGGAAGAAATGATGAAGTAAAAGAGCTGAACAGGGCAGCTCAAGAAGACAAGGTAAAGTATTATAATGAAAGGTGAAAAGTCCTGAAGGTAGGAAACCAAAAAGGAAGAACACACTCAGCATATGTCAAGCTGAAAGAATTGATGAAAAAATTCAAGCTGCAGGTTGCTATATCGAAGGATTCTATCGGCAAAAAATTGAGCAACGTAGGGAGCATCATTGTACCAAAAAGAATTCATCAGCCTTTTTTTCAGGAGGTAGCATATGATCAAGAATCGATGCTACTGAAGGAATAAGTCCAAGCTGCACTGAAGGCGTTGGTGAAAAACAAGGGTCCAGGAATTGATGGATTACCAATTGAGATGTTTCAACAAATGGATGAAATGTTGGAAGCACTCACTTGTCTATGCCAAGAAATTTGGAAGACAGCTACCTGGCCAACCAACTGGAAGAGATCCATCCATATACATGCCCGTTCCAAAGAAAGGGAATCCAGTGGAATATGGAAATTATTGAACAATATCATTAATATCACATGGAAGTAAAATTATGCTGAAGGTAATTCAAAAATGGTTGCAGCAGTACATCAACAGAAAACTGCCAGAAAATCAAGCTGGATTCAGAAGAGGATGTGGAATGAGGGATGTCATTGCTGATGTTAGAGAGATCTTGGCTGAAAGCAGAGAATACCAGAAAGATGTTTACCTGTGTTTTATTGACTATGCAAAGGCATTCAACTGTGTGGATCATAACAAATTATGGATAATTGAGAAAATGGGAATTCCAGAACACTTAATTGTGCTCATGTAGAACCTGTACATAGACCAAGTGGTAGTTGTTTGAACAGAACAAGGGGATACTGCATGGTTTAAAATCAGGAAAGGTGTGCTTCACGGTTGTATCCTTTCACCATATTTATTCGACCTGTATGCTGAGCAAATAATCAGAGAAGCTGGACTATATGAAGAAGAGTGCAGCATCAGGATTGGAAGAAGACTCATTAACAACCTGCACTACGCAGATGACACAACCTTGCTTGCTGAAAGCAAAGACGATTTGAAACACTTACTGATGAAGATCAAAAACTAGTCTTCAGTATGGATTACACTTTAAGATAAATAAAATAAAAATGCTCACAACTGGATCAATAAGCAACATCCTGATGAACGGAGAAAAGGTTGAAGTTGTTAAGATTTCATTTTACTTGGATCCACGATTATGACAATGCCCATGGAAGCAGCAGTCAAGAAATCAAACATGTATTGCATTGGACAACTCTGCTGCAAAAGACCTCTTTCAAGTGTTCAAAAGCAAAGATATCACTTTGAGAAGTAAGGTATGCCTGACCCAAGCTATTGTATTTTCAATCTCCTCATATTCATGCGAAAGCTGGACGATGAATAAGGAAGATCAAGGGAGAAGTGATGCATTTGAATTATAGTGTCGGTGAAGAACACTAAATATACCATGGACTTCCAGAAGAACAAACAAGTCTGTCTTGGAAGAAGTACAGTCAGAATGCTCCTTAGAGGAGAGGATGGGGAGACTTGTCTCATGTACTTTGGACATGTTATCAGGAGGGACCAGTCCCTGGAGAAGGACATCAAGCTTTGTAAAGTAGAGGGTCAGCAAAAAAGAGGAAGATCCTCAACGAGATGGACTGACACAGTGCAACAGTGGGCTCACATATAGCAAGGATTGTGAGAATGGCGCAGGACTACTGTGCTTCATTCTGGTCTACATAGGGTCTCTTATGAGTCTGAACCGACTCAACGGCACCTAACAACAAACAACAACTATTTGTATCAGTTTAGATTCTCTAAAACATGTACATATTGAAAAAAGCAGACTTTAATCCCCAAAATAATTTGAAAACATTGGAGAAAGCATCAACCATCAAATTAGTCTCTAAAGAAAGTCATGATTTACTGTTTACAAAATTAACAGAATTTGAAAGTGACAGAAAAATGATTGAGGAAACAAATGCTCCAATCATCCCCAGTGGGGGGGGAAAAAAAAAAACTAACCTGAAAAACTCCCGGTTCTTCTTTGTTTGCATTTATCTGATCAGGTATAAGAAGAGGCTCACTTTTCTCACAACTCTCTGCACTAATGAGTGTATCAGCGTAGTTGGGTTGAGGGAAGATAATATGACTCTTTCCGGAATCCGTCGTGAGGGAGACCTCATGGGAATAAGTCTGCAGGAAAGCCCGCACCCCGTCCACGCCCACAAAGTGCGAGACGGGCGGGTTCGGCAATACGCCGCCAGAAGCTTGCAACAGACGCGACGTGTGCCAGCGCCTCAACCTGAGCACCAACAACACGATGACAAAGGCGAGGAAGACACACGAGACGGCGGCCAAGCTCACCACCAGGTACAGCGTGAGGCCTGAATCATCAGGGTCAGAGGATGTCTTGATGCTCTCCAGGTCGGCCAGGACATCGGGGATGCTGTTAGCAACGGCCACGGTGAGCGTGACGGTGGCCGAGAGAGGGGGCTGGCCGTGGTCCTGGACGGCCACCACGAGGCTCTGCTTGAGTGCGTCTCTGTCCTGCAGGGCCCGCGCCGTGCGCACCTCGCCCGTGTGCACCCCCACCGCGAAGAGCCCTGGCTCGCTGGCCTTGAGCAGGTGGTAGGACAGCCAGGCGTTCTGTCCTGAGTCGCGGTCCACAGCCACCACCTTGGTCACCAAGTAGCCGGGCTCTGCAGAGCGGGGTGCCAGCTCCACGCCAGTGGACCCGTCAGTAGGAGGGGCGGGGTACAGGATCTCTGGCACGTTATCATTCTGGTCCAGCACAAACAAGCTCAATGACACATTGCTGCTGAGTGGCGGGTTCCCGCTGTCGCTAGCTGTCACCCACAGCTGCAGGTCTCGGAATTGCTCATAGTCGAAAGAACGCAGCGCGTACAGTACCCCGGTATCGGAATTGATGGAGACATAGGAGGACAGAGGCGCCCCCTGGAGGGTGTCCTCCCTCAAGGAGTAAGTGACCCTGGCGTTCTCTCCGCTGTCGGGGTCGTGGGCGCTCACGGAGAAGATGGAGACGCCTCTCGAATTGTTCTCTGGAATGTAGGTGGAGTATGAGATGTGAGAAAAGGCTGGCGGGTTGTCGTTGATATCCTCCACTTTCAGCGAGATATGAGTTTCTGTAGACAGGGGTGGGGTTCCGCGGTCAATGGCTGTTACTGTGATGTTATAGTCTGAGGTCTCTTCCCTGTCCAGGGCTTTCGTTGTCAATAAGTGGTAGTAATTATCAACTGACTTTTCCAACTCAAAGGGCAGGTTCCGGGGGATAGAACATGCAATCTCGCCATTCTCTCCAGAATCACTATCATGTACGCTCAACAGAGCAATCACGGTTCCGGGAAGACAGTCTTCAGAGACTGAACTGGTGAGAGAGGTGAGGATCACCTCCGGGGCATTGTCATTCACGTCCTGTACTGTGACCAGCACCGTAGCGCTGGCAAGAAGAGCACCTCCATCCTGAGCTTCCACTTCTATTAGGTAGAATCTGGATTCTTCATAGTCCAAAGATTGCAGGGTTGAGATTTGCCCCAAGCTTGAATCAAGTTCGAAAGTCTCTGAAATTTTGTCTTCTTCATTGCGAAAAGAGTAGGTCAATTTCCCATTTAGTCCCTCGTCTGGGTCCGTGGCGGTTAGCGTGAGCAGCCGAGTGCCCACAGGTATGTCCTCTGGGACACTCACTCTGTACTCCGGTCTAGTGAACAAGGGAGCGTTATCGTTTGCATCGAGGACCAGCACGCGGATGTGCGTGGTGCCAGAGAATATGGGGTCTCCGCCATCTACAGCTGTGAGGAGGAGGTCGTGAACAGCCTCTTTCTCTCGGTCCAGGGGCCGATCCAACACCAGCTCCGGGTACTTTTGCTTATCATTTCCGCTTTTCACGTCCAGAGAGAAGTGTATGTTGGAGCTGAGCTGGTAGTTCTGGAGAGAGTTCACGTCCACATCCGGATCCCGTGCGAAGGGAAGTACTAACCGCATTCCCACAGGTGCATTTTCATTAATTTTTACTTTTAATTCCTCATCCCGGAAGCGTGGGGAGTTATCATTAATATCGATAATTTCCACTTCTACTCCATAAATTTTCATTTTATTCTCAACCAGGATGTTAAAGCTCACCAGACACGGTGCGCTCTGAGCGCAGAGCTCCTCCCGGTCTATCCTGCCCGCCGTGATCAAGCTGCCGCTTCCCGGGTTCAGAGAGAACAATTGCGTCTTACCTCTGGAGACAATGCGGACTCCGCGCTCCGTCAGCTCCCGGGGCTGGAGCCCCAGATCCTTGGCGATGTTCCCCACGAAGGAGCCTTTGTCCAGCTCCTCAAGCACCGAGTAGCGTATTTGCCCGGCCCCAGTCCCCCACAGCTTCCCCAGGAGAATAAAGAGTAGGAGCGGCTGTCTGCAGCCCCAGCGCCTTAGTGGAGCCACCATTGCTTTCTCTCCGCCTGATTTTTTCTCAGTCCTGGTTCCTGCCGGCTGTTTCCTTATTTCTCTAGAGTCGAAGGGAACACATTCCCTGGCGGAAATCAGAGTAGGGCGCGGGGGAGCGGCTTTCCTAGCCGCTCGTCTGATCTGTGGGTGCTTAGTCCGGAAGGAGCAGAGAGTCGGTTCTGCGGCAGCCGTTTTTCCCAGTTTGGTGAACAGCGACGCTCAGAGTCCTAACCAGTTACTGCATCAATTCTGTTTTTATTCCCCATTAATTTGCTTGTATTTTTATTTCCAATAAAATTTTGCTGTATCCTTAATGTAGTACCTCGTGACATTGTTAATGATGTTAAATTTTTAATTCAGAAATAGTGAAAGACTTCCACAAGCCCCTGAGATTAATATAATTATTAGATTCTTCTTTACTTCCTTAGAAAAGTTTTATTTCATATGTCATTGAGTCTATGTGCTTTATTTACCTCTCACCTACTTTGGGTCTGTTAAAGAGATTATTTTTTATTAATAATTCAGGACATTGCAATTCTCTCCTTTGTAGGCCTCAGTATGTCATCTTTTTGTTAGAATACATTTATGAAAACATTTGTACATAATAATGGCACGGAAACAAACCTAGCTCTGAATGCACATTTGCAAAAGACCTAGTGGTTTATGTAAATATTGTATTAGCTTTCATATGCAGAAAGAATAAAGAGGTAATTTTGTGACTTGAGAGGTCTTTAAGAAAGTTTCCAGGTTTTTACAATAAGGATATGAGCTGCACTACATCAGACTGAGAGTTTGAGTTTGAGTTGGGTTTTGTATGCATCATTTATATCTTCCTACTACCCTGTTCAAACACTTGTATTTAGGTGTTTTACAATGATATACTCTTAGTGGAAAATAGTATAGTGACTGTGGAGGGTATGGCTTTAGTTCATCACAGGTGCAGGAAAACATGCCCAGATACTTACTATCGAGCAGGTAGTGAGTTGTCTTTTGATGTTGAGACAGATATTTAATCTTATTACCTTGATGTGGTAACAGAAAAAAGAAAAAGTTTATGATAAAAAAATGGACATGTCAGAGAGTCCATCAAGTGACAGAAGCAATTTTCACTTAATCACACTTTCAGAGGAAAATGAGGAAAAGGAAGATATTCTATAATTGGAGACTCCCAAAAGAAATAAAGCTTTAAGTACTATTTGGTATAAAACAATGTCAGTATAGCTTGCAAAAATTTTCTCAGTTATACAACATTTTTCAAGAGCAATTCATTCATATGCATGAGAAAGTTATTTCACACATTGATTAAATGTGACCTTCATAGCCGACACCTCAGACCTTGAACTTTCCCTGTCCTTTTTATACTTACATTGTACATAGACACTCAGATTGTAAAGACATTTAGATTGTAAAGACACATAGTGTACTGGTCTTCAAGTCAGTGGAAACGAGTTCTACCCATGCCCTGTGGTTGACAAGCTGGGTAAAACTCTTCCTTTCTTTGGCTCCCAGTTTCCCCAAACTAGTAATGTGAAGATTCTCCATACTCTAAAGTACTATGATTCTAAGAGAAAGAAAAACTAAAATTTGAGTAATAAATACCCTAAAGGTAAAAGCAATTACTCAAGGTCCCAACAGTAATAAATCTTCAGAGAGAAAGAATGTAATGTAAAGATGAGGAAGAGAAAGAATTATTCCATGTGGTAAACGCCTGTAGTTACGGAAAAACAAATCTGACACCTCAGATAGATAAACTACATCTAAAATTTGGTTAGACAAGACTAATTACGGCAGCAAACTGTCCAATTCTGACCCACAAGATAACAAAATATGAGCTGGAAGCTTCTACCCTTGTTAGGTGATTCAAGAAACATTAAAACCCAAAGTGAAAATAATTAAAATAAGTAAAGCTCACCTTTAAAATAGTTTCTGAGTTAAATGGGACCCCAGTGTCGCCATGATTTGTACTAGGTACCCAAGAGGCATCATCGCAGAGAAGATCCTGAGTGGGAGCCGATTCCCGAGTCACGTTGAGAAAACTAAATTCTGCCTTAGCCGACTGTGAGGCAATACACAGATTGTAGGAATGGGGCAATGTTCCCTCACTGTAGTTTGAGGGAACCCCAGGTCCAGATTTGGAGCAGAGACCAGGCTGAAAGCAGCCCCAGGCGGCGGGGCTGGAGGAGCGTCGCAGGCGCAGGGCAGTGGCCAGAATCACCCCAAGGAGGAAGAGCACAGAGATCAAGGCCAAGGCCACCACCAGATAAAACTGCAGCTCCGCCTGGGGGTCAGAGGAAGCCGGGTGGTCGCTGAGGTCTGGCAGAGCCCCCTGCAGACTGTCTGCGAACACCAGGAGCAGCGTGGCTGTGGCTGAGAGGGGCGGCTGTCCTCCGTCGCGCACAGCTACCAACAGGCGCTGGCGGGACGCTTCCCTGTCGCCCAAGACACGTGCTGTGCGCACCTCGCCAGTGCGCAGCCCCAGGCTGAAGAGCCCGGGCTCGCTGGCCTGCAGCACGTGGTAGGACAGCCAGGCGTTGTGTCCTGAGTCTGCGTCCACCGCCACCACTTTGGTGACCAGGTAGCCCGGCTGCGCCGCGCGCGGCACCGTGTCGAAGAGCGCTGAGCCGTCGGGTCCCAGCGCCGGGTACAGCACCCTGGGCGCGTTGTCGTTGCGGTCGTCCACCAACACGCGCAGGCTGACGTTGGCGCTGAGCGGGGGCGAGCCCTGGTCACGCGCCTGCAGCGTCAGCTCGAAGGCGCGCAGCTGCTCGTGGTCGAAGGCGCGCTGCGCGAACACCACCCCGCTCTGTGCGCTCACAGACACGTAGGACGACAGCGCTCGCGGTTCCAGGTCGCTGGCCAAGATGGAGTAGGACACTTGGCCGCTGGGCCCCAAGTCTGGGTCGGAGGCGCTGACCTGCGCGATGGGAGCGCCAGGCAGGTTGTTTTCAGCCACGTGGACCACGTAGGCCGACTGGTGGAAAACCGGAAAGTTGTCATTTACATCCGCGATGTGCAGGGTGATGCTTGTGCTGGAGGAGAGGGGCGGCTTGCCCCTGTCGGTGGCCATGATGGTGATGTTGTACTCTGGGATCTGCTCGCGGTCCAGGGTGCCATCTGTCACTAATTTGTAATAGTTCTTCAAGGAAGATTTCAATATAAATTCGGCATTTCCAAAGACGCGGCAGTAAACTTCTCCATTTTCTCCAGAGTCTCTGTCTCTTGTTTTGATCAAGGCGATCACTGTTCCTCGAGGTGAATCTTCTGGTAGGGGAGTAAATACTGAAGTCACGATTATTTCAGGCGCACAATCGTTCTCATCGAGAATGTCTACTTGGATACTGCAATGGGCAGCTAGATCTCCAGGATCTTTTGCTTCTATACTCAGAGTGTAAGTATTAGCAACTTCAAAATCCAAGTAATCTTTTGTCATGATTTCTCCTGTTCTTTCATCTAAGTTGAAAAAGTGTACCACTTGTTCGTCCATATTATGAAAGGAGTAGGTGATTTCCGCATTGACGCCCTCATCCTGGTCGGTGGCTATCACTCTAACTACCGAGGTGCCCGGGGGCACGTCCTCCCGTAGGCTGACCCTGTAAGCGTCCTGGCTGAATACTGGGGGGTTATCATTGGCGTCAGTGACTTGGATTCGGATCTGGGTGGTGCTGCTTTGGGGTGGGTCCCCGCCATCCACAGCCATGAGGATCAGTTGATGGAAATTCTGTTCTTCTCTGTCCAGAGAATGTTTCAGAATTAACTCAGGATATTTACGTCCATCTGGAGTCTGTTTCTCTGAGAGATCAAAGTACTCATTATCATTAAGGTGGTATCTTTGCAGTGAGTTAGGACCAGCATCTGAATCCAGAGCTGAGTCTAGTGGAAATGGTGTACCTGGCTGAGAGGATTCTCTAATTTTTAAATCAGTACTACTCTGTTTGAATAGCGGAATGTTGTCATTTATATCCTGCACAATTACTGCTACATGGAAAATATTTAGTGGATTTTCAGCGACAACATCAAAATCCAGAACACACAGAGGCTTCTCCCCGCAAATCTGCTCTCGGTCTATTCTGTCACCCACAAGTAAGTCCCCGCTCTCTGGGTTTACAGTAAAATATTCCTTCTCTCCGCTAACTCGCAGCTTCCGGGCCGGCAAGTCCCGGACACGGAGCCCCAGATCCTTGGCGAGATTTCCCACCACCGTGTTCTTGGCCAGCTCCTCGGGAATTGAATAGCGAATCTCTTCCGGGAGAGCTCCGCTGAACAAACACAATAGGAAAGGCACCAGTACCTGCCGCCGCCCCGCGCTCGGTCTCATCCTTTGTCTTCCTCCGCCGCGGGGCCGCTCTTTGTCCGGGAGGAAGAATAAGCCTGCAGTGGATGACAGAATCCAGGGTAGGGTCACTTCTGCTTTTGTTTTCCTGTATCCGAACCTGTACCGCCCTTCTCTGTGTGGTGCGTTTGAACAGGAAATTACTGTTTAAGATGTTCCCAATGCGTCTCCAATTTCTTCTCTCTCTTTCTTTGACCTATAGCGACGCCCAGAGGTTTTCCCAGGAAACTGCACCAATGACTTGAACTATTTTTCCTCTTTTCTTTTTTGGATTTACAAAGAGTATTTATTTGTTTTTAAATAGGTGACACCATATTCACGTTGTTCCAAATTAAAAAGGCACAAAAGGCATATTATATAAGATCTCCTTCTCATCTCTCCTTTCAACAACACATTTCTCACAGGAGAAAACTTTGTTACCTTTCTTGTGTATCCTTCTAAAATATGAGGCATGCACTCTAGCAAATTGTTATGAATGTTTCTCCTGATTTTTTTGCACATATGGAAGCATACAATATACCATGTTCTGCGCCTTGCTTTTTTCACTCATTATATCTTGAAGACCATCTCATATCAGTACATAAAGAGGTTCCTCATTTATTTCTTATAACCATGTAGTAGTCCATTATTTGATATACAATAATTTATTTAATCAAAAATATTACTTTTTAAAAAAGGAATCCAGTTTCCATTCAAACAAAACATATTTTTCCATGTGAGATTAGATAATACATCATCTACTGTTCTCTTAGGCATTTAAAAACATGTTCCTCTCTGATTCCTAATACCAGCATCTGTGTATATTTGATAACATTTCAGGCCAAATGAACATTTCCAAAACATATTTTTAGAGCCTTTTTATCTTCATCCATCTCTCTTCAGATAGGATTTGTCTATATTCATTTGTGTTTTTTTCTTTTTTCCTCTCACTCTGTCATCTAATTGTATATTGTCACATTTCTATTTATTCTATGTATTGTACCACAAAGGAGCCCTGGTGGTACAGTGGTTAAGTGCTCGGCTGCTAACCAAAAGGTTGGTGGTTTGAACCCACCCGCTGCTCTGTGGGAGAAAGGTGCTGGCAATCTGCTCCTGTAAAGATTACTGTCTTGGAAACTCTATGGGGCAGCTCTACTCTGTCCTATAGGGTTGCTAAGAGTTGGAATCAACAATGGGCATTGTACCACAACTTCCCATGAAGACAGAACCATATAGAATGAAAACGCCCCCTGCTAAGTTAAATTGAGGCGTATTTCACAGTCTATAGCTATAACTTCCAGGAATCCAAAGGTCACTAATTTGTGTATCCCTAGACATTTATGAATTTTATATTGGCTCACAGAACAAAATGAAGGCACAAGAAACAAAAGCATTGCAGATCCCTTGCATGTAAAACATTTCCTCCCATTTCAGATCACCCCAATGCCACATAACGACAGTCACCTGAAAAAAGCAATTTGCAGCGACAGAGATGAGGCCTACTTATTAGGTAGCATGAATCACATCAGTCCAGAATCCAAGTTAACCAATATTTTCAAGAGGATCTCATGAGGGAAAAAGGAAAGGCTTCAAAAAGTTTGATTTTCTTTAGAAATCAAGAAGGGTCTCAATAGTGGTTTTATAATATGTAATTTAGATATTAAAATCACTCCTACAACCTACTTAAATATGAGTGAAATGAAATAAGCAATATTTTGGTAAGCATGCAAGTGCACCAAAGGAATCACAGATAGCTATTGCTGGTGCCTCTTATAAACAGCAGCAACAAAACATTTGAAATATACCAGTCTAATTGAGAAAACATCCCTGTTATAGTTATATCTAAAGGTTAAATATGTTCTGCACCATTCATAAATTACCACCGTCTAATTATAATGGAAAGTACCATTTAGGAAAGAAAAGTAAACTTCAAGCAAAGCATGTTATTTGAGTGTTAAAATACTCAGTCCAGATTCAAGAATAACTTCATAAGAAAGAATCTCTAAATAGGAATTTACACTATTGTCTTCTGTCTAACAGCTCTAACCTATCATTTTTAGCAATGCCCAAAGGATAATGGTATTTAAAGAGTGAGGTGGTTTAAAGGTATAAAATTAAGAAATCGCTGCTGAAACTAACAATGAAGATTACAAAGAATAAGTACTAAGCAAATAACTTCTTAGTGTATTAAAAGTTGTTACTAATGATTATTGTAGGGTCTCCTGCCCCTCTCCTGTGAGGCAATAGAATTTTTTTTTTTAAAGAAGTGCCTGTATTTGATATATAGCTTATACACTGGAGGCATATTTATCACAGTTTGTGGCTATGTTTGAATGTCAGTAAGATCTGGTATAAGATCAACTCACCTGACTGGGGTCTCCTTTTGTTTCAAGTAAATCCTGAGTTATCAGAAGAGGTTCTCTTTTCTCACTGCTCTCTGCACTAATGAGTGTATCAGCGTAGTTGGGCTGGGGGAAGATCAAGTGACTCTTCCGAGAGTCTGCGGTGAGGGAGACCTCGTGGGAATAGGTCTGCAGGAAGGCGCGCACCCCGTCCACGCCCACAAAGTGAGAGGCGGACATGCCCGCCAGCCCGCCGTCTGAAGCCTGGAGCAGACGCGACGTGTGCCAGCGCCGCAGCCTGAGCGCCAACAGCACGCTGACAAAGGCGAGGAAGACACACGAGACGGCGGCCACGGCCACTACCAGGTACAGCGTGAGGCCTGAATCTTCTGGGTCAGAGGGCGTCTTGATGCTGCCCAAGTCGGCTAGGACATCGGGGATGCTGTCGGCCACGGCCACGGTGAGCGTGACCGTGGCCGAGAGAGGGGGCTGGCCGTGGTCCTGAACGGCCACCACAAGGCTCTGCTTGAGTGCGTCTCTGTCCTGCAGGGCCCGTGCCGTGCGCACCTCGCCCGTGTGCACCCCCACCGCGAAGAGCCCTGGCTCGCTGGCCTTGAGCAGGCGGTAGGACAGCCAGGCGTTCTGTCCTGAGTCGCGGTCCACAGCCACCACCTTGGTCACCAAGTAGCCGGGCTCTGCAGAGCGGGGAGCCAGCTCCACTCCAGTGGATCCGTCGGTGGGAAGAGCCGGGTACAGGATCTCGGGCGCATTGTCATTCTGGTCCAGCACGAACAGGCTTAATGACACATTGCTACTAAGCGGCGGATCCCCGCTGTCGCTGGCAGTCACCCATAGCTGTAAGTCCCGAAACTGCTCATAGTCGAAGGAGCGAAGGGCATACAGGACCCCGGTGTCGGAGTTGATGGAGATGTAGGAAGACAGAGGTGTACCCTGGAGGGTGTCCTCGGCCAGAGAGTAAGTGACTCGGGCGTTCTCGCCGCTGTCGGGGTCCTGGGCGGTCAAGCAGAAGAAGGAGGCAGCTCTGGGGTTGTTTTCTGGAATGTAGGCAGAGTAGGAGGCACGAGCGAAAGAGGGTGGATTATCATTGATGTCTGCCACCTGCAGCGAGATACGAGTTTCTGTAGACAGCGGTGGAGTTCCCTGGTCAGTGGCAGTTACCGTGATGTTATATTCTGAGACTTCTTCCCTGTCCAGAGTTCGGTGCGTCAACAAACGATAATAATTTCCATAGGTCTTTTCAAGTGTGAATGGCAGATTATCTGGAAGTGAACATGTTACAAGGCCATTCTCTCCTGAGTCACCATCATGCACATTGAAAAGTGCAATAATTGTGCCTGGGGAAGAAGTTTCTTGGATTGAGCTAATGAGGGATGTAACCGTGACTTCTGGAGTGTTGTCGTTTACATCCAAAACTGTCACCAGTACTTTGCTTCTGGCTCGGAGACCAGGTCCATCATGGGCTTCTACATCTATGTCATAGAATTCAGAGTCCTCGTAATCTAGATCCCCCAATATTGCTATGTCCCCGGTCAGAGAATTCAACTGGAAGAGCTGGGATATTTTCTCTCTCACTTTCCGGAAAGAATATGTCACTTCTCCATTGGCCCCTTCGTCTGGATCAGTGGCTTCTACCGTGAGTAGCAGTGTGCCCACTGGTATGTTTTCGCGAACACTTACGTGGTACTCGGGTTGACTGAATACGGGAGCATTGTCGTTGGTATCGATAAGTTTCACGAGAATCCTGGCAGTGCCAGAGCGAACCGGCTTGCCCCCGTCTGAGGCGGTGAGGACGAGGTGGTGCACCGCTTCTTCCTCGCGGTCCAGGGCGCGCTCCAGCACCAGCTCCGGGTACTTAATCCCATCGGCTCCGCTTTGCACGTCCAGCGAGAAGTGACCATTCGAGTTTAGCTGGTAACTCTGCAGGGAGTTTACCCCTACATCCGGATCAAAAGCTTCAGGAAGAGGAAATCTTGTCCCAGGATTTTCATTTTCAACGACTTTTATTTCTCTTTCCTGGGTCCCAAAGCTGGGCGCGTTATCATTAACATCGATTATTTCCACTTCTACTCCAAAAATCTTCACTTTGTCCTCTAGGAGAATCTCCAAGTTTGCTACACACTTTGGAGATCTGTCACAGAGCTCCTCCCGGTCTATCCTGCCCGCCGTGATCAAGCTGCCGCTTCGCGGGTTCAGAGCAAAGAGCTGGGTCCTACCTCTGGAGACGATGCGCACTCCGCGCTCCGTCAGCTCCCGGGACTCCAGCCCCAGGTCTTTGGCGATGTTGCCCACGAAAGAGCCTTTGTCCAGCTCTTCAAGCACCGAGTAGCGAATCTGTTCGGCTCGGATTTCCCACAGGGCCCCCAGGAGAAGGCAGATCCGGACCAGCCTGCTGCAGCCTGGGCGATAAGGAGGAGCCGCCATTACAGCCCCGCCGCGGAGTAGTCTACGCTTCGGCTTTCCGTCGTGGAGGCTGGAGGAGCCCCAGGATCTTCTGCGTCCAAGACAATGCGCTTTCACCTTTGGGTGTTGGAACTCTCAGGAGTCCAGTTTGAAGCTTTCGTAAAGCCCCAGAACCGGTGCTTTATGGTGCAGAAATCTTGTGGTTTGAATTAAATTTCTGGTTGTCATGTTTCCTCCTGATTGGTGAACAGCGACACTCAGAGTCCTAAACTGTTACTGCAACCCATTCTTGACAAACTGAAGCATCAGTTTTATAGCTATTTCCATTCCTAAACCTATTTCTCCTGAAAGAATACAAGTCAAGCTCCTGTTATTTGATTTGCAACGAGATCTAAGAATGATCCAAGGCTTCCTGTACAATAAGCCTTATATTATAAAGTTATTTATTTTCTTGGAGAAACTAATATGATGATTTTTTAAAGCTGAGCCTCTTTTCAGTTTTTGCATTATTTGTGTCCGCAGTCCATTTGCAGTACAGTGTACTGTGAATAGTGTACAGAGGGATCAGTGTACATTCTTTCTAGGAACAAGGATGGACTGGAAGAATTAGAGGAAAGTGGTAAGTGAACAGATAATAATGGCCAGGGAGCTTGGAGCTCTAGGCTCTAGTCCTAAACTACACAGAAACAAGTTTCCTCACATGAGTTTACCCTTTACAACCTAGGGAAACATTTAAATACCCTTGAAAAAATATCTACTACTCAAGAGCTAGTCTTACCCTTGTACAAATGGGCTTGGCAAATATGATAAGTCTGGGAAGATAATTTTGCTTATTAATTTTGAACACAGCAGATTCTTGTCCCTAAACTATGTCTGTGACAACCAAGTTCATGGCTGTGTTCTCGGTCTCTAGAACAGTATCTTTCATAGGGTAGGCACTCAAAAATATTTTTCAACGTTTATTGAATGAGTGCTAATGCAATCACAAAACCTAAAACAATGAGTAAATACAGTCTGATCATAAAAATACATAAGAAAGATGAGAAGACAAAAAGTGCGACTGAAGTACTGTAAAAAGCAGTGATTTCAGTGATATTTTCCATCCAGAAGGTATTGTTTTTCCATGATTCCTAGGTTTGTTTTAGCTTTGGTTTTAGAAATAACCACTAGAAAGAAATATTTTAGTAATTGTGAATGAACCCTCCCACCACTCATCTGTCAGTTTGTCGTACTGTGGTGACTTGCAGGTTGCTATGATGGTGGAAGATATTCCACTGGTATTTCAAATACCAGCAGGGTCACCCATGGTGGACAGCTTTCAGCAGAGCTTCCAGACTAAGAAAGACTAGGAAGAAAGTCCTGGCAATCTACTTCCAAAAATTAGCCAACGATAACTCTATGGATCATAACAGAATATTGTCTGATACAGTGCTGGAAGATGAGCTCCTTATGTGGGAAGGCACTCAGATTACAGTGACCACTGCAATGGATGCAAGCATACCTCATGAAGATGATGCAGGACCTGGCAATGTTTTCTTCTGTTTTAAACAGGATTGCCAGGAGTCAGCGCTGACTTGATGGCAACTAACAACAACAACAACAACTACAAACGTATCCTCATTGCAATGTTGCATAGCTTTCTTATTTAGGAATACTTAGACTGACTTACTAGTCTGAGAAAACTTGACGTAAAACACTAGGCAGTTCTTTAGATGACTTCTCACATAATAATTAGCATCAAGAAACAGCCCATGGATTTTAACCAAACACAAGAAAGTCCAGTAATTATACATTTTTTTAAATCTTCAGACTTTGAGAGAGTAAATGTATTTTTCACAATCCTCAAAGGATTCACAAATTTCTGGGAAATGGGAGGTAAATTTAGATGTTTTAGAAATAAATTTGATACTATGCATTAAAAAAAAATCTCAAAATGTTTGTAGGTTTGACTCATTTTGCAGAAACCTATAATAAAGAAATGATAATATGGAAAAGGTCTTTCATAAAAATGCTCAGTACATCCCTTATAATAATGACAAAGTAGAAAAATGTAAAAATCAATGATTAAAGAATGGTTAAGAAAATTATGAAACATCTTTGAGTGAGATTATGAAGTGGGAATAAAATCAGCCCAAAGACAGTCATTCAAATCTGAAATCTGGCCAGTCTTTGCTCCTTGTAATAAGGCAAAGAAGTACTGAGAGAATTATCGGAAGGTTGTGTTAAATATACATGAAGCAGCTAAAGGAGAAACAATTAGAATGTGGCTGATAAACATGATAATAACCTTAACTTGGGCAGAAAGAACTGTCAATGTATTTATGAAGAATAAAACATAGCATTACTTGAAAAAAATAGTATCATACATCAATAAAGAAAACAAACAAACCCATTGCCAAGGAGTCAATTCTGACTCATAGTGACTGTATAGGACAGAATAGAACTGCCCGATAGAGTTTCCAAGGTTGTAAATCTTTACAGAAGCAGACTGCCACATCTTTGTCCCGGAGCAGCCCTCCTACCTTTCGGTTAGCAGCTGAGCACTTAACCACTGCACCACCAGGGCTTCTTTATCAACTAAGGAAGGGCCCTGCTATTATTAAAAGCGATGACATCCAGGAGAGAGCTCTCTCTACCAAGATTTACCATGATGATACAGAAATGCCAACAGTAAAGACTGAGAAGTAGTAGTCAGGTAACTGCCAAGACTACGGAGCAATCAAGGAACCAATCCCATGCACACTCTTCACTAGATACCATCACAGAACAATGAACAACTACCAAAAGTAATTATTCACAGTTGAGAAGCAAATTCAATATATACAATTTAAATAGGCTTGCAGAAACTCACGTGAGAGGAAAAAGAAGGGTCATAAGTGATTTTGAGGTCTTCATTACTGCCACATACAACCGTAGAAGGATCATCACACAAGAGATCCTGAGGGGGAGCCATTTCCGTGGTCACGTTGAGAAAATTAAATTCTGTTTTAGCTGATTGTGAGGCAACATACAGATTGTAAGAATAGGGCAATGTCCCCTCGCTGTAGTTGGGGGGAATCCCAGGTCCAGACTTGGAGCAGAGACCAGGCTGAAAGCAGCCCCCGGTTGTGGCGCTGGAGGAGCGTCGCAGACGCAGGGCGATGGCCAGAGTCACCGCGAGGAGGAAGAGCACGGAGATCAAGGCCAAGGCCACCACCAGATAAAACTGCAGCTCAGTTTGGGGGTCAGAGGGCGCGGGGCGGTCGCTGAGGTCTGGCAGCGCCTCCTGCAGGCTGTCTGCAAAGACCAGGTGCAGCGTGGCAGTGGCCGAGAGAGGTGGCTTTCCTCCATCGCATACAGAGACCAGAAGGCGCTGGCGGGCCGCGTCCCTGTCGCCCAAGGCACGCGCCGTGCGCACCTCGCCCGTGCGCATCCCGAGGCTGAAGAGCCCGGGCTCGCTGGCCTGCAGCACGTGGTAGGACAGCCAGGCGTTGTGTCCTGAGTCTGCGTCCACCGCCACCACTTTGGTAACCAGGTAACCCGGCTGCGCAGCACGCGGCACCGTGTCGAAGAGCGCTGAGCCGTCGGGCCCCAGCGCCGGGTACAGCACCCTGGGCGCGTTGTCGTTGCGGTCGTCCACCAACACGCGCAGGCTGACGTTGGCGCTGAGCGGGGGCGAGCCCTGGTCACGCGCCTGCAGCGTCAGCTCGAAGGCGCGCAGCTGCTCGTGGTCGAAGGCGCGCTGCGCGAACACCACCCCGCTCTGTGAGCTCACAGACACGTAGGACGACAGCGCTCGCGGTTCCAGGTCAGTGGCCACGATGGAGTAGGAGATACGGCCATTGGGTCCCAGATCCGTGTCGGAGGCGCTGACCTGAGCGATGGAGGCGCCGGGCGGGTTGTTCTCAGCCACATGGACCATGTAGGAGACCTGATGAAAAGCCGGCGCGTTGTCATTGACATCCGCAATGTGCAGGGTGACACTTGTACTGGAGGAGAGGGGTGGCTTGCCCCTGTCAGTGGCTGTGATAGTGACATTATACTCTGCTGTCTGCTCCCGGTCCAGGGCCCTGTCAATCACCAGTTTGTAATAATTCTTGGAGGTGAATTCTAATTTAAAGGGAACTTCTTTCTGTATGTAGCATGACACTAGACCATTTTGCCCAGAATCCTGGTCCCGCACTTTAATGAGGGCTATTACAGCTCCAAGGTCTGAGTCCTCAGGAATCTGGTCAGAAAAGGAGATGAATGTCACCTCTGGGGCATTGTCATTCTCATCAACAATTTCAATCTGAACATTACAGTGAGCGGTATGGACCCCTCCGTCCTTGGCTTCGACACCCAACACATATATCCTTGTTTCTTCAAAGTCCAATGTACCATTGGTTGTGATGTCACCAGTATTTGGATTGAGTCTGAAGAGAAGGCTGGTGCTCGTAGGGGCATTGTGGAAGGCATATGTGATCTCAGCATTAACGCCCTCATCCTGGTCTGTGGCCATCACCCGCAGCACGAAGGTGCCCGGGGGCACGTTTTCTTGGAGGCTAACTCTGTACACGTCCTGGGTAAACACCGGAGCATTATCGTTGGCGTCGGTGACTTGGATCCGTATCTGGGTGGTGCCGCTTAGGGAGGGGTCGCCGCCGTCCATTGCGGTCAGGATTAAGCGATGGGAACTCTGCTGTTCCCTGTCTAGAGATTTTTCCAGCAGTAATTCCGGGTATTTACTTCCATCAGGACTTTCTTTTGTTGATAGAGAGAAATGTTGATTGGGGTGGATGGTGTATATCTTCAGCGAATTACTTTCTACATCTGCATCTTGTGCAGAATCCAGAGAGAATTTTACCCCTGGTAAGGCTGATTCACAGATTTCCAAGTCAATACTTCTTGCAATGAAACGTGGTGCATTGTCGTTAATATCTTGGATTGCAACAACTACGTGGAAAATATTCATTGGGTTTTCAGCGACGATTTCAAATTCTACTACACATTGGGATTTTCTCCCGCAAATCTTCTCTCGATCTATCCTACCGCTCACTAACAAATCCCCTCCCTCCGCGCTAACGTTGAAATAATCCTCCTCTGCACTAACCCGAAGTTTTCGAGCGGGCAACTCCTGGACGCTGAGCCCCAGATCCTTGGCGATGTTCCCCACCAGCGAGCCCTTGGCCATCTCCTCAGGAATCTTGTAGCGGATCTGCTGGGAGATGGCCCTGCCGAACAAAGACAGCAGAAAAGGAAACAGTACCTGCCTTGTCATCCTTTCAGCTTGTCTGGCGTTCCTCTGCATTTCTTGAACTCTCCAGGAAGCTTCTTTTCAAGGTTTCTCAGGAATGTTTTAAAAAATAAATGACAGCACCCTAGACTTTCGTGATTTAAGGGTAAGACTTGTTTGTTAGGCGCTTGAGGATGCACAGGAGATGGGTACGCATTCTGATGTGCGCCGGAATAACCAGGAAAGCACTCTGAAGCTCCGGCGGAACCGAGAACCTTTCTCTTCCCTTTGGTCAACAGCGGCGCCCAGAGGTTATCTTGGAAAACTTCATCTTGCCCACCTATTTGTCCTGAACGTGTAAGCTCTTGAATCTAAGTACCTTGTGTTTTTATTTGTCAGAAAGAGCCAAATATTCAAATTTTCACTTTAAATCTCATGCTTTCCAGTTTGTCGTCATCTCATAAGCATCTCCTTCATTTTATATTTTTTTCGTTAAAAAAAATTTCATAAGGCATACAGCCTTTTTTTTTTTTTTTCAGTTTGTGGGGCTATCTTCAGTGATTTCACTGA